CGATTGGAGGTAATTGGGGTGAACAGTTACCAGTTTTACTTTGTCAGACTTGTTACTAAGACAGAAGTAAATAGATATGCCATCAGTATTAATTTTTGTTTTTTTTTTTAACATACAACGTGTGTTGTACGTGCGATACCCTGTCTTCATCAACCGCCCGACCAGGGGTGATCTCGCAGTTTTAATTGGCTATGGCAACCGCCACCCTAAGCGCCACCAGCAGCGTTTGCCACCAGGCAGGGTATGAAGATAAGCTAACTAATTGTTCCTTTAAGTAAAATTTATCTGCAATGAAAGTTTCTTGAGCGCATTTGCTGTTATTAATGCCGCTTCGTAAAAGTCGTTATAGACGACCACGCAAATATCTCACTTGCGCATATTAGGTGCCGATGATGTTGCGGCGCATTCTATTTCTTGTTTTGATCTCGACCAAATCCAACTTGGGCGTGTTGAACAGTTTTTTGAAGGTGACGTGAAAGCGCTTTTTCAACCAACGGCCAGTGAATACCTAGTTGGGAACTTATGACATCAGGAAGTTCATTAATGAAGATAAGAAACTGTAGGTCCAAAGATAGTACCCTGGAAATGATCTAGAAGTATTGACATTCAACAGGACCTTTATTACATGATTTGTTAAGAATGATTGGATTAAGCCAAATATTCAGTCAGAGACACCATTGCACTTGAGCATGTAGAGAAGGCCAGCATACCAAACCCTGTCAAATACCTTTGATAAATCTAAAGCAACAGCTTAAGTCTCACTGTTTTTATCAAAAGCCTGATAGACAAATATAGTAATAACTGTTAACATATCAGCACTAAACCTGGTTAAATGAAAGCCATACTGTTTATATGAAAGTAGGCTATGTGAAGTGAGATGCTTAACCAATTCAGCATTGATTAGAGTCTCTAGTATTTTGCTAAAAAGAAGTAAAAAACTAAGAGATGATTTGATGAGTCAGAGGGCTCACCTGAGTTCTTAAAGACAGGAACTACAGAAGAGGATTTCCAACAATCTAGAAAACAAGGAGCACTGAAGCATTTATTGTAGAGCTTGGAGAGTCCAGGAACAAGTTCAGGAGCTCAATTCCTTAGGAAAATTGTAGGGACACTGTTGAATCTGGAAGCCTTGTATAGAAATAATAGCAGAAACTCTGGATGGAGTTATATGTATATAACTTAGTAGAGATTCTGTATAAGGGAAAAAATCAAGCAAAGATACTCCAGATAAGTCAAGAGTGGAATTAAAAGAGTATTTCCATTTTAAATTATACATGTTAGTTAAAATATAAATGTGAAATTTATAAGTAAACTAGCTTAAAAGCCACCGTATCAGGCAACATTTAAGTTAGCTGCTGCAGAGGGCTCTTGTTTAGGCCTTCATCGCAATTGGTAGGGAGATGTAGGTAACAATAAACTACAGAAGAACTCAAAATTGATCACTGCATTTAAGTACTGCATTATTTACTTCCCATAAAAACAATTATTTTTATTTCATGGGTGACTTTTGCTAAATTTCACAATTAATTTCAATTATTCCCAAATTTATTTCCAAGTTATGGAAATTACTATAATACAAAAAAATTTGTCACAAAATATCACATTATAAAAAAAAAAAATAATCACAGTAATAAAAACTTGGGAATCCAAAATTTTAGGATTGCGGGTTTGGATCTGGCCTGGAATGGTTTTAATTTTCTCACAGAGTCAGCTTGATTCCAAAATGGTATATGTTGAAATGAACTATTGAAAGTTAGAAAGTTTTGTATCCCTTTAAGTTGAAAAAGGGTGACACAGTGATGCACTGGCATTCACATTATATAGGAGAAAATCACAAGTTATATCAAACTGAACATTCTAATATCAGAGATATGAATTATAAGATTATAAAATGAATATCATCCTGGACAAATGTCAAAAGTAAACAATACAGTTGCCTATCAGTATCCACAGGGTATTATTTTCCAAAAACCCATGGATACCAAAACAGTCAAGTCTCTTATATAAAATACCATATAACCAATTCACATTCACTAATATACTATAATACTTATAACTAATATGATGTAAATGCTATATAAATAGTTGTTATACTGTAGGTATAAACAAAAGATTTTAATAGGAAATCAATACCTGATTGACTAAAAAAATAAATTTACTTTTGTATGAATTTGTAAACCAAATTTGTACAAAAGTAAATTTTATTTATTAAAATTAATAATAAAAATTTTAAAGAAAATTCTGATAAAAAAATATTTGTGTAGATTATACAACCCAAGATATTTGTGAAAGTGTATAATGTTATTTACCAAAAAGAAAAAAAATCATTTGCTTTAATTTGAAAATTTCTAGCCAAAAGAAAATGCAACAAATTACATAGTACTTATTTCAATTAGCTGCATTAATTCGAATGATTACTTTGCAACTTATATAAATGTAAAAACAGTCTAACTTAACAATAATAAAAGTGAAAGATGGCTATAAAAAGACAGTGTTGATTATTTAGTCTATTTTTTTAAATAATGCACTGACTAGTGTTTGGCAATAACTAAGTAAAATGATGCACTAAAATAAGTAACCAAGTAATCGTTTTAAGTTCTCCAAATATCAGTGCAAAAAAATTATTAAAAAAGTCTAATCAAAGTCTACTAATTATTGGATTTCAATAAAATTCTTGATATTTAATAAAGGAAAATTTTAAAAGTTTTCCTTATAAATTTCAAGAATAAAACAAAAGGTATAACTAGTAAAAAAACAACCAATATTTAAAATATATCCAAACAATAACATGGAATAAAAAGAAAAAGTGGTTAAAATCAATTCTAGAAAGAAAAAAAAATAATTTTATATGTACAATAAATAATATATTGCTATCCATTTTTTTATTAGAAGGAAAATAACATTTTTTATCTATATGACTATCATTAAGTTTGTGTACATGTTTATTTGGACATTATGGCCAAATACAAAATTCTAAGGACCTACTGTTTGTGCCCTTTTTTCAACTGGGTAACTGCAAAACATCAAATACATAATTGGTCACTTGAAGGTCACTCAAGATCTCCAGAGGCCATCAAAATACACAATATAGAATTTCTAGCCAAAGGGAAAAATCTAATAAGAAAATACTGAGATACTAAATTTATTACACAGTATAAAAATATTCTTTGACTTTACAGATGGTAGGATAGTCAAAGTAAAATTAGACATCTGAAGTCATTAGAGATCATTGGAGATAGAATTGGTTTATAGCTTTTGCAGTGCACCTAAATTAGATTCTTGGAGATAGATTATTATATGAGAAAAACTTGGTCAAAAAATAGAATGAGTAATGCTGAGCTAGTATGTCAATGGATATTACCACAGTTAGAGTTAAAATAACTTTTTTTCAGCCAAATTACAAACTTAAAAGTCTATAAATGTTTTCAGACAAAACATTTATTTCTGTGTTATATTTGCAGCTATTTTTTTTTTCTCCTGGCAATGCCAGGTATCCACACCTAGTTTTTAATTTTTTTGTTTCTTATGCTACATAATGGAATTCAGATCAATAGATTCATCTAAGTCATATCCATTAAAACAGAAATGTAAAACTGTTCAATCAAAAGTAGTGATGGAGTGATAAATTATTATCTATAAATAATAAAGAAATGTCTTGGGGATAAATTTAAAATATTTTTTCAATATGGCTTTCTCCAGCTGATTTGCTTTTTTTGGCAGACTTATGAAAATTTATCTTTTAAATGTCAGTCAGTCAGTTATGTACCATGTGTGGTACACACTTAGACGATCATGTATCTTTCAATACATGACTGATGAGGTAGATTTTTTCCCCCCACGGTAGGTTGCCATTTCTTTCTGCGGTAGAACAGTTGCCATACAAGTCTATAGAACCCAGTCTGTCCTGCTATTTACCCATAGCTGGAGGAAGAAGAAGTGGATTCATACCTTTCCCAAGGGTATTAGCATATAAGTGAATATAATGGATTCGACTAGAATTCGAACTCAGCTCTCCGATTCCCCAATCCAAGCTGCTATCAATTACACCAGTGCCTCTTATCTTTTAAATGTAGCTTTCTTGAAAAAAATGGAACCCAAAAAGTGTAGTCTTTCTTTCAAGTTTTCTCCAAAGAGTATATTATTCCAGACATTGAACATGGAATTGTGAAATTAAGCAAAAACATGCAGTGCAAAAGCCAAAAAATAACATACAGCAGAAACTATTCTAATATTATAATTCACAGAAAATTTCCTAACTTGCTAAAATTGCTTGCTTTGGAAATGCTTTATAATTTACGTTCTTTTATATTTACTATTGCTTATATAGGTACTGGTACTGTTTCTAAAATCTATTTGTCTATTTATCTATCATTATTGCTGAAAGATTACAATAAAGAAATGTATTAGTATAACTAATTTATAATTTCCACGAAATGATTTTAGATAAGATTGACAACAATACTACTTTTGCAAGTAATAAAATTTGCCCAATAAACAGCAGACAGAACACAAAGCAATATTTAATTATGACAAAATTTCTCTGCATAATAGACTTTCTTTGCAGAATCTTGTGGTAAAGCCAGACAAGTTGGCTGATAAATACATTAGTTGAATTCATTAGTGTAATCTATTCATGATAGAGAAACTAAACAGAAAAATTAATTCACTATATCTAACAGGTGACTTGTTCAAAAAGTAACAGCTACACTTTATCTAATTTGACCTTATATAATGTAGTGGTAAGGTCCTAAAGGAAATTTTAATACTTTTATTACACTGTTTAAATTGCACTAAAATGTTCTTGAATACAAAAAGATAATTATGACAAAAATTGGATGTAAAATCAACATTCCTTAGCTTTTATCTTGTTCAACGTTTACAGATAAAAGCTCGCAAATCTTAATTTCTTGACAAATGTCACATCTATAGTTCCTTTTTCTAGAGTTAATTATGATTGAAGACAATAAAGATACATATTAAAAGCTAAAAATGAACCAATATTACAACTCACCATCAATGTCAAACATGGTGCGAAGCTCTCGTGTTAACAATTCAAATTTCCTCTCCAAATCATCTTCTTTCTCCCTGGAAAATATGAATACAGATATAAAATAAATTTAATAACTTTTTCAAAGTACATAGCAAAAAAATAATTCATTAGCAAGTGCAGTAAAATAATCTGTTAAAAATATTTGATCTGCAAAATATCATTTGATCTAAAGAGAAATCATTTAGATTTTATTGAATAAATTTCACTTCTATATGGTGGTGAATGCTGGACAATCTCCTCACATATGAAGAAGAGACTTGAAGCAACAGAAATATGGTTATATACAAGAATGTAAAGAATACAATGGACCAAACATTTGAGCAATATTTTAAAGAAAATGGAAATAAAAAAGTAACTTATGCTTAACATCAGAAAGAGACAGTTGATATATTTCTAAAACACATAATGATGAAAGGTGGCTTGGGAAATTTGATACTCACAGGAAATATTGACGGCATAGAGAAAAACAATGCATGACCTACCTAGCAAGTTTTAAAGAAAATGGAAAGAAAAAAGAAACTTATACTTAACATCAGAAAGAGACAGTTGATATTCCTAGGGCACATAATGAGGAAAGGAGACTTGGAAAATTTAATACATAGAATGAAGCCAAAATACAGCAATACACAGCATAATCTACTTAGCAAGTTTGAGTAAATGGATGGAGGAACAGAGTTTAGGAGATATAACAAAAAGACAAAATTTATTAGGTGCTGCATAGGGCAGGAAATTGTGGAGAGCCATGATCATCAACATCCTGAAGGCACATAGAGAATGTAACACTGTTTATTATCAGCTGCAGATATTCTTTTTCCAAAAATCATCATCTCAAATTAAGGCTAAAATATTCCTTATTTATTAAAAGTGAAATTTAATAAATGCAATAAATGATCAACGATATGAAACATAAAAAACATTTATTTGACTCAAACTAATTTAAAACCAGTGTTGAGAGCATAAAACAAAAAAAATGAGGAGAGAAATATATATATATATATATATATATATATATAGATATATATATATAGAGAGAGAGAAACAAATGGTATCTCTCTTTCTCCATCTTTATATACAAGTTTATTTCAAGTATGAAAGAAAAACTGGATAGATTATTTGAGAAAAATGTTTAGAATTAAATATAATCATGCTGGAAAATAAAGCTGTAATTTTGAAGGGAAAATTCAATTTGATGCCAGCTTCATTATTCTATCTGGTCTGTAACATGTTTTATCAGAGACCTTATTTATCAATCAGCCGAACTATAAAAAACAGTATCTATTGCCTTGTAACATACAAAAACATATACTCTTTTTAAGAGTATAAAGCAAAGATTTCATATTTTGCATGCATAATACCGAAATATATCCTATATTACTATAATTTCCATTTTTGTCCAGCTACTTCTTCCTGCCTTTTTTTTTCACAGCCTCAAGAGGAGGTTGTATGCTGTTCTGGTATTGGAAGCACTGAAGAGTTTTAGTCATGGGAACATTCCCAGCAATTCCAACTGTAGTCAAATAGTCCGTGATAATGCGCTGTGTGACCAGAGTCTGCTGTTTCATATGGTTAGTGAAAATTTTCTTACTGACCGAGAAACCACTCCCCTCTGAGGCCTGTATATGAGAGAGTACCAGCAATCTACTAACAACTATCCAGTTTTTTATATTCTTTGTGTCCAGATGATCTTCATGCTTCCTGAAATTCTTGAAAGCTATATTTCCAACAGTCTCTCTTCAAACTCTTTTGTACTGACTAATGATATCATCACAATTAGACTTGCTGACTTGTTTTCTGTCTATCATGTGGTAAAGACATCTTTTTAGAATGTCTTCTGTGACAATTTTTTTTTTTTTTTTCACAAATGGATCCAGGGTTCAGCCATGCAAGTAAACTTACAAGAGGGTATCTAAGAGGAGATTTTTCCAAAGTTTCTAATTGATGATGAACATTGTTGCAATTCTTCATGCAAACAGATTTTTTGTTGACACATTACTTTTTAGGATAAATTTTGCATAACCCTATCTGCTAGAAATCCACACTAGATCTTTGCAATATCTTTTTGGGACAAACACAAAATTCTTACAAATTCTTTCATTTTGGAAAACATAATTCTCTTTTTAGTATGCTCTTCCTCTACAAATCTTAACAGTTTCATAATCATGCCAAAAAGATCATCTGCAAGGAAAGGAAGCAACGATTTATTGCTCTGATCATTTATTAGAGCCAGTTGAATGTCTTTCAAAACAGACACAAAAATCTGCAGTTTCAGTGGAAATAAAATGTCATTCATATTTGACAGCACTGGGTCTGGACATTTTTTCTGTTTTTTTAAATTAAGTTCACAAATTTAATGACATCTGGCCAAATATCTAGGAGTCATTCACATGTCTGTACATTTTCTAGCCATCTATGACAGAAATACAAAAGTAAAAGAACAGGGTTGCCAGAGTGAACTTTCAATATAAAGCCAAGCATTAAAAGGCAAATAAGTTTTAATATAATTCATTATTTTTTTTACACTTACAACAAAAGCTAGAGATAGAGGTCATTATTAGCCTGTAAACTTTGAAAAAATAAGAATGTTATTTTTAAAGATGCATTTTCTATCCTGTCATCCTTCTTGTCTACATTTTCTTTGAGCCAAATTTGATTCTCAAACTTGTTGCTTTTGCCAACAATTTCGATAAATGTAGTTTACACAGAGATACACTTTGACACAGGATGATGCGTAAAGTATCTTTTTTTGGCATGAACCCATTTCCACCACCAACCCAACCTACTGACAAGATTGAATGAGATTTTTAATTTAAAATTGATATGTGGATATCATTTCAATTGTTCAAATTTTAAAAAATAATGATAAATTTTTCGGGACACTACTAAAATGAATTTTATTACTGTATAATAATTTATTATTTTACTTTCAACTAAAAATTCACTGAATGTAAATTAGATTTATCTTTAATGGAGGTTTTTACTTGTCTCTGATGCTTTTTATCTTTGCTTTTCCTTCTTTTCTTGTTCAGTGAGGGCAACAGCTAAGAGAAGACACACTTTCATATTCTTTCTCTTTTTTCTTTCTAGTCACTTAGATAAGAAAATACAGAAGTAACTAAAAGGTCATGACCTCATTCTAATCAAGGAAAACAACCACCATTCGCAATAACTGCCAAATATTACTGATGACTAAAAAAACATTGTTCTTAAAGGACAATTTCAGTTTGTTAAAAAGCCAAATTTCTAAGATTTGGCATTTTGACATGAATTGAAAGGCAGCCCAATTTAGAAAATCCCAGGAATTTTCAAGGAGCTTTTGGGCTATTACTATTTTTCCAGTACTTTTCAAGGTTTTCAGGATCTGTATGAACACAAATATACCAAAAAGTATATGATATTGCATTGAAATTAAATCTAAATGTACCATATAATTATAAATATGATGACCTGATAATATTTTCTTTTAATCATTTCTCCCCAAGCAAGGCAATAAAAGCACTAAGAAGCAAGGGGTTACTGGGTATGATAGAGGATGAGAAAACTTTAGTGAGTAAAAAAAGACAATAAAAGAACAAGATTCAGGAAAACAGGAGATGGTAATCGGCATTGCATTTAAATTTTTGAAGACTGTAGGTGACAGGGAAGCAAAAACTCAAAGAGAGTTTTATAGACAAGAAGTGTAAGAAAAGAAACTATTAGAATAGAACATATGGTTACATATAGCTAGTTCAACAGTAAGACTTAGTTGATAATTTAGTAGCATACTTAAATTGTTGCAATTGAGGCACTAAGTCCCCATTATAAATTTATAAGCACTTTTCAAAAAATCTTTTGATTATTCATACAAGTATGCTTATGTTTTAGAAATGCCTTATATAAAAAACATTGAAACAAAATATGTTCATGTTTATCTTTTTGCAAAAAATAATCACTATTATTATCATTATTTTAAAAATCAGAATTAAGTTATATTGTTCATTTAAAAAAAAAAAAAAGAAGAAAACCAAAGCACCCCCATCCCATAAAATAATGGACCTAAATGAACTAAATTGATTATATGAGAGAGACAAGATATTTTCTGTTATATCTACATACCTGAAGAGGGATAATTTGTTAATAATAAATTTAATATACAGGTAAAATAAATGATCTTAATTATAATACTAAGATCTTTTCTGTTAATTCATCCCAAATAATGTAAAGTGCCTTATTACAAATATTAATTCACCAAGAAATTATAAATTTTAAATCAAAGTTTTTTGGGTTTTTTTTAATTAAATTTTAGGCACTCTTGAAATTATAAATTTTAAATCAAAGCTTGTTTGTTTTTTTTTTTTACTGTAAATTCCAGTATGAATTTCATGGACCCAGAAACATCAGCTTACACACAAACAATCGAAAGTATCTGGTGGAATGCCAAAAGGAAGAAGTCGTCCATGTTTGGGACATCACAGAATGATAGACTCTTATGTGTGAGAGTTTGTTTGGAAACATAAGACAAAAATAACAATGAATGCTTTTATGAACAAATTTTAAAGGACATTTCTGAATTTTGGTGTGAATTTTAGTAAATATAAATTCTTTATATTTTGGGTTAAATTAACAGAATGGATCCATATTATTACTCAGACAAATGTTTGTTAGAAAATAACATTTTTAAATGTTAAAGGGGTCAAAATAAAATAAAAAAAGAACTAAACAAAATGTGTCTTAAATTTCAACAAAAAAAAATGGTCAATTGTTTCTTTCACAACCCAATCATAGCAGAAATAGTAAGATGATAATATGATCATCTCAAGCATAACCTATTCTAGCACAGGCCTCCCCATCAACTAAAAATTGGCTTTAAAAAGTCTAAAAATGGCTATCATGAATATTAATCAAAACAGTCATTTCTTTTATTTTCCTTTTCTTTACTTTTAATCTATTGTTTTTATCAGACATGCATGTCCCAATTGCATCACTTGTGTCCTTTTCGTTTTCATTTCCATGTTTACCAAATAGCCTCTCTGCTTCAAGCCAATGTCCAACTTGTGAT